ATGACTAGAATTACTATAATAACTAGAACATAATTATCACAACTATATTGAACCCCCCCCTTCGATTCCCCCAAGGTCCGCCTCTAAAGCCGCGTTTGCAAGAAGTCACCCCGCGGGCCCACTTTTTGCACCAAGATTCCAGCACCAGGATAGCCCTAAGTCAGTTGCTTTGGGTACATGCTGGGGTCAAAACACCACGTTTGTGAATCCCACACTGTTCTACACATGTACACACCAGAATCAACCCCATCCGCGTTGCAACAATGTGCTGCCCCCAGTTACACGTTGCCTCGCAAACCCCATAACCTGATATTTATACATATATCTAACTATATGTATGTATATATATATATATATGTCTGTGTGTCTGTGTGTGTGTCGTGTCCCCCCTCCCTGAAACCTACCTTTTTGGTACCCGCCCTCGAGTCCAAGCCCAGAAGACTTTTTTCGATATCCGCCCCAACTCCACCCACGTCCGTCCGCAGCGGATATGCCTCGTTCCCTTGCTCTCTTCTCCTGTTCCAACCCACGCCTACCTTTCGATCTTTCACCCTTCCCTCTCAAGTGTATGAAATTTTATGCAATGATTCAACATTTCCTTTCCCATCAAAAATAGGGACATTGACACATTTTAGAAAATGGGATTGGAAAAAACAAACATGGGAAATTCGCCATGGAAAATAGATTCATTAGATACCACGATACCGTTGGGGGTTTTAGCAAGTATGTGGATCAAACCTGGAAAAAGTGGGGGAAAAGATAGTGCAGTCCCCTATAGAAGTGGTTGTATATTAGGAATACTACGATACCATCTTTAAAGAAGTTGTCATAAGTTTAATACCCACTGCTCGTTTGCGAGCGCAGGTCTTGTTTTAGTTTTCAGGAAAACTGGAGTAGATATTCTGGCCAACAAAAGCGGGGTATGCGACTGCGGAGTACTTACTACTTTCAGATTGGCTTGGTTGATGCTGAGATGCGCATTTGACCTTCTTTGTGGGGTGCTGAAGGCTCTGATTCTGATCCAGACTGGCAGACTGGTATCTTTCAGCAAGGTTGAACCCATTGAGCACGGCTTCAGGTGTACCCGGCAGGCGACCATCCATGGCAAATGACGGCATTGAATCAGACGTATCAAGCAGTGAGTCTAGCTATGGATTTAAAATGACTCAGATAGTGATTCTCCTTCTCCATACTGTTCTGCTTGGGAATTCCCATTCAAAACATTGCTCAGGCACTCGAATGACCATGATTCCAAATGACATCGAGGACATACTCTCCATCTTAACTACCTGCGATCTGTCTGAAGTCTCCCCCACCTTTGCTTGGCCACCAATTTTATAGTATTTTAATGTATTTTATAAGCCAAGGTCATGAACTCCATAGAAACCAAAGTTGATCATGACCCCGCTGGGTTCCCCAACTTGTTGACCTGTGTGATGATCCATGGTAGGTCCACGGTCCCTCTGGCCGCGCGATGGAGGACTTGCTGATTCGACTTGGAGTAGTTGCAACTTTTGAGCCATCCTCAAATCAAGATAATCAAGTAATAGTTGGCAATAGCTGGCAATCGTTGTTAGTTGGAGGCAGTTGTTGGGCTTCAAAATGAATCCACAGAAGTTGACTTGGAGCGAGCTGTCCGAAGCTGATTCGATTGAGCTGTCTTCAAATCTTGATTGGGCTATCATTCCTTTCCCTTGGGTTGTCTCCATGGCCATCCTCCGTGCGGTGTTGATCCCATATATTTCTCCACTATCCACTGTAAATCCCAATCTGAAAGGATCATGTGATTAACTCATTCATAATTTGTTTGAGTATGGTTCAGAATACCACTCAGAACGTATGTAGACTTGGATAAGTCGTGAGACAGTTTACCATTTGATTAGTAGTTTACAGATTTTCCATTTTTGATTGTATGTAGGACGATGATCCAGATCGACTTTCATATTCATTTTCAACCGCGATCTGGTTGACCACATGTATAGAACAGATGTTTGTTTTTTCAAACATACTCTCCAAAATCGGGATTTACTATGAATTCCCAAGAAAATGGGGTTATCAGCGGTTATCACATCATGATGATTATACATAGATAAAGTATACATTTCAATCCCCACGGGCGCTGACGTATTCAAATCGCACCATGGGTCGGAGGCCCATCTTGGAGACATTTCAGTGGCTTCTTTGCGATCTTTCTGTTTCGGACGTCATAATGATATGTCGCTGGAGGCTGGTGATCCCATCATTATTATCATCATCGTGATCGTCATTGTTATCGTCATTGTTATCGCCATTGTTATCGTCTTTGTTATCGCCATCTTCCTCCTCCTCCTCCGCATCCTCATCGTCCTCATCATCCTCATCATCCTCATCATCCTCATCATCCTCATCATCCTCACCATCCTCACCACCCTCACCACCCTCACCACCCTCACCACCCTCACCACCCTCACCACCACCACCACCACCACCACCACCAGCACCAGCAGCAGCAGCACCAGCATCATCATCATCATCATCATCACCATCATCATCATCACCATTTTGATATATTGATCATGTTTGTTTTGAGTAATTATTCTTCCAGTGATATGTTCAAACTTATTATACATTGTTCATATGATATTCATTTATGTAGATATTTACCTATTTCTCATGAATATGATTCTTCTATCACTGACCCCCAAACCAAGAATATTGTATGATTCTTGTATGATTATTATTATCATATTCATATTATTGCATCATTCTATGATTCCCACTCCTTTCCCAGGTGCCCTAACGGTGCCCTAACGGTGCCCTAACGGTGCCCTAACGGTGCCCTAACGGTGCCCTAACGGTGCCCTAACGGTGCCCTAACGGTGCGCCAGGACATCCCCTGGAGCTCTTGGTCACGCGCCCTGCGGGCAGCGCCAAGGCGCGCTCCGAGCGGCCAGAGGCGGAGGCTTCCACGCAGGCGATGCTCGACGGTGGACGGGGAGGTCGCCAACGGGGGGATTTTGGACCTGGGGATTTCTCCAACAATGATGATGCAGTCACAAGATATTATGTATGTATATATATATAATATGTATATATATATATACACTGTATAGATAAGTTAACCATCACACATGAGGATTAAACATCAAACATGGGATCGAAAGACCTAAAGAAAAGGGGAATTCAACATCAAACATATTCAAACATGGGCATTAAACCGCTATTTGTTTGGGGATTGGAAGACCCAAATGGGGGAGCTAACTATCAAAACGGGTGATTTGATCATCAAAAACGGTCAACATATCGGGATTTAACCATGAAAAATGGAGATGTAATCATTAAAAAAATAGATTTGACCATGAACATATAGTGATTTCAACCCCCAAACATCGAAGGACTTTTGGGGGAAATTACAAGCAACTGCCTGCGATTTTGGCAGGCTGGAGCTGGTACGAACGCTCTCTTGGAGCGGTGCAGAAAGGCAGAACAGGAAGTGGAAGTGCTCTCTGGTGGCACATTTAGGCGATGTTTGGTGGCCCTTTTTAATTTAGAGAAAATGAAAGAGGGATAATATGGGATAATATGGGATAATAATGAGAAAATGAAAACCCATATTATCCCATTATTTGATATCCTACAATATCGCACTATTGGTCTTACCACATTAACAAAAACACACAATTAGTATGAGAAACCCTGGCTGCCATAAACAACTACATACAACTACCATGACTGGGGATGTTTTATACAACCCAGTAAAATGGTGATGACTTGGGGATGGTTTATGACATTCGATTTACCACAGAGAAAATCATTTTGGGAACCGCAGGATTTGGGGATGCGGTCGCTGGAAGATACCAAAACCACATTGACATTTTGCATTTCAGAAGAACAACTTTTGATTTTGGCTGAAGCCAATGGAAACTCCCAATATTACTGTACTCTATTTGAAACAACCCGTAGAAGTGATTTTTTATTCCATCTCCCCGATGATTTCCCGAGGAAAGTCGGCTTCTCAGGTGCCATGTTTCACTTCCTCACGTTTGGATCGCCCAATATTTTTTAGTACTTGCCAGTCACAAGTAAGATTTTGTATGTGCATATATATATACATACAAGCATACGTAAAGATTCGATATACTAGTGTAGTACATTCTCGTACGATATGTTCAATATATTCTGATACAATTCAAATCGTTGTATGATGTCATATGATATCTTATAGTCCATCATGTCACTGTGTTATACAACATAGTTTATGGAACCCACCTTACGTTAATCCCCTTTTTTTAACACATGACGGTGTTACACGTGTAGCACACGTGTAGCTCCCAACTTCTGGGGGGACTGCCTGCAACAGCCATGTAACCTCGGACAAACATGAGTTCCGGAGCAGTTGAGGTTGAGAAGAGAAATGCAAAGCATGGAGCAGCAGTTGTCAGAGTACAAACAGCAGTTGCACCAAGCTCAGGACTTTCCTGCCACTCAAAGTGCCATTTGAACACACTTGAAAGAGGTATTGTATTGACCGGCAATTTCACAACTATCAATTTTGTTCAGTTTGCAAGTCGGAGGCTTTTGTTCTGGTCATGGGCTAGTGACTAGTGTCTTGTGCACCTGTTGTGAAGGTGTTTGTTTCGAAAACTAAAGTGGATTGAATCGCAGGAGGCTGCGCAAGCCCAAAGTGACCAGCGCAAGCATGCCGAGCAAGAAGTGCAGATGCCGTTGAGCTGCAGTTGTGCTTCTGTGTTCCAGATGGTGGAAACCATGCTTTTTGCTGGGCTTGTGACCCTGAGATATGTTGATGGCGCGGCTGGTGTTGATGGCGCTAAGTGTTGAAATCCTCAGGGTTCTAACCCGCGGAGTGACTATGTGTAGCCGTAGTGTAAAGGATAGAATGCACCAAAGAGGAGAACATCAACCATTAATGCATGAAAGGCCAGAAAAGGAAATCGTATTCAAGATGCTTTCAATCCACTTTGCGCAAGACATTGGTTGGAACAGCTGAAGTTGAGGTTGAGACGAGAACGAGACAGCATTGAGCAGCAGCTGTCACAGTACAAAGAGCAGTTGCATCAAGCTCAGGACGTTCTTTGTCGACCCAGTGCTACCCTTGGGGTAAACCTTGGTGGCCTTGGTGAATGGTAGGTGCCATGCCATGCTGTCGGCAAAGGCAGGAGGATGCCCCCAGACATTCTGAGCGCTTCGAGAATGCCGAGCAAGAACTTCGAATGCTCCATTGGTCGCATAGGGCTTTCTGACCCGAAGGGAATGTAGGCTTATGTAGGGTTGCAGATTGTTTCATTGCCAAACAATACTGTCAGAATTTCAGATCCCGCAAGCCGCAGACTGCCTGGTCGTGAGTATAAATCTATCGCAGGTGTCTAAGTTTTGGTGGCTGATGCATACCTATCTTCTGTGCTATGCCTGCACAAACTCCCACGGGGACATGTTCAAGGGAGGGATTGCTCTATATCTCTTTGTGGGGATGAACATCCACAATAGCGACTTATTTTCTGTATGTATACGTATATAGTATATGTATTATACAATAGCGATAAAACTGATATAAGTCGTTGAATACTTAACAACATAAACTCAACAACTAAAGAATACAACTAACATTTTTTCTACGTAATATGACAAACTATAACCATATGTATGTATGTATATATCATATTATATAATTATATATATAGACATATATGTATATATTTAGATCATCATATTCATGTTTTTAGGACGGTTGCCCAGAGGTTGCGGCAGCAGCACCAAAGCATGGAGCAGCAGCTCTCCTTGTCCAAGCAACAGCTCCAGCATGCAAAGGCGAGGATCACCTCGGATGATGGCGATTTCATCCAAGAAAGATGGGGATTTAATATGATTTACCCTTTGGTAATGTAACACAGCTATTGAAAATGGCCATTTATAGTTGATTTACCCATAAAATATGGTGATTTTCCATAGTTATGTTAGTTTACCAGAGGGTAATGTCATCTAATGTGATTTGATATTTGATATTTTTTTTGATACTTCATGAGATTTAAACCAACCTGGGAACAGAATGGGGATTTCATGGGGATATGCTGGAAATAGAATGGGGACATATGGTGCAATGGGAGATGTTTGGGAGACATTTCAACAACTTGACATGATATGTTAACAACCAACACAATGTGGGATAGAATCAGGACAGACTTGGGAACAAGTGGGATAGAACTCAAAATCAAGCACATGGTATTTTGTGATATCTGATGATATTTAGGTTTGTTGGATAATATTGTGACCCATATATAATAGGGAATCCACATCAACCAGCCAGTATAGAGGGATGACAGAGGTGTTTGAACGCTGCCATGTGGGTTCGTCCTCAATCACAGGGGATTTACAGCCATGAATTATGATAAGTTCGATATGAAATAATAGGGATACGGTTTTCCATCAAATTTGATTTACCACATTTTCAGAGAAACCAAGAGATCCTACAGTATCTACTTATGTGTAAATAGTTGAAATTAATCATCCTTCAAAGTCACCGTTTGACAATTACCTACAGTACACTACGTCCGACCTGCTTGTTGGTGTCTTGCAAAGGTTTATCAATGCCAATGCGACGTTTTCTGCAGATAGCTTAAACGGTTTCTAAATGGCTTGTGCCTGTGGACTGACTCGATGACATACACAACAGGAAAAGATCACTGGACCATGTGCAAAGACCCACTCATTCTAGACTAGAACAAGATGGGTTATACTGTGGATGGAAGAAATCCTGCACCAGTTGATAGATGGATTATCCCAGTATTTATAGGGTTTCAACCATCCAAGGTGGTGCAGGATTTCTTCCATCCACCGTAGTATGGTATCCCAAGTCTCCTTGATGGCTGTCTCATGTTTGACATTCAGGACTCTACTGGGGACGCCCCAATCCATTTGGGTTTGTCCAATGGTGGATACCCCAACATGGATGTCTTAGTTGGTAAATTATGATAAACCAGTTAAACCATCAAATGGATTGGTATGTCCGAGACTATGGAACTACTACCGGTAAACGTAAATAACATCCGATTATCAACCATCCCGTGTTGGATTTCTGCGAAGAATTTTCGGCTTAGGGCCATGGTGAGTAAATAAAATTCTGATGATCTGCTGATGTCCGGTGCACAACATGGCTATGAGGATCCATCATCTGACAAAGATGCAGATGAAACTGATCAGGTTGATCTTCAGGTGCTGTGCTTGACTGGAGAAGGAGTGACATTGAGCGTCAGTCGCTCCATGATTGGATATGACCTCCGCAGATTGGTGGCGAAGAAGCTTCCATGCAAGCCAGGTGCACAGCTCGCTGTGCATCATGTTAATCGAAAACTGACGCTTGATGAAACCTTGGGAGAGCAAGAGATTGTTGGAAAATCGGCAATGCTGTCCTGCACTTACGTACCAACGAATCTTTGCACTGCATGGAATTATGTCTGTGGGCTCCCAACTAGTGATAGAGAGTTTGCGATGGAAGGTGTTACGCAACTTGAAGGAGCAACAACGGGAGAGTATTTACATAATCTCCCCTGCAGCCTTGCAAGCTTGACTTTTGACCATGACTTCAACCAAAGCCTGGAACAGGTGACCTTGCCATCGAGTCTTCAAAGCTTGAGTTTTGGCAGGGGGTTTAACCAATGCCTGGAGCAAGTGACCTTACCATCGAGTCTTCAAAGCTTGAGTTTTGGCCGTGGCTTCAACCAAAGCATGGAGCGGGTGACCTTGCCATCGAGTCTTCAAAGCTTGAGTTTTGGCCATGACTTCAACCAAAGCCTGGAGCGGGTGACCTTGCCATCGAGTCTTCAAAGCTTGAGTTTTGGTGAGAATTTCAACCAAAGCCTGGAGCGGGTGACCTTGCCATCGAGTCTTCAAAGCTTGAGTTTTTGCGATCTATTCAACCAAAGCCTGGAGCGGGTGACCTTGCCATCGAGCCTTCAAAGCTTGAGTTTTGGCTATCGGTTCAACCAAAGCCTGGAGCGGGTGACCTTGCCATCGAGTCTTCAAAGCTTGAGTTTTGGCCATGACTTCAACCAAAGCATGGAGCGGGTGACCTTGCCATCGAGTCTTCAAAGCTTGAGTTTTGGTGAGAATTTCAACCAAAGCCTGGAGCTAGTTACCTTGCCATCGAGTCTTCAAAGCTTGAGTTTTGGCCGTGGCTTCAACCAAAGCATGGAGCGGGTGACCTTGCCATCGAGTCTTCAAAGCTTGAGTTTTGGCCATGACTTCAACCAAAGCCTGGAGCGGGTGACCTTGCCATCGAGTCTTCAAAGCTTGAGTTTTGGGGATCGATTCAACCAAAGCCTGGAGCTAGTTACCTTGCCATCGAGTCTTCAAAGCTTGAGTTTTGGCAGGGGGTTTAACCAATGCCTGGAGCGGGTGACCTTGCCATCGAGTCTTCAAAGCTTGAGTTTTGGCAGGGGGTTTAACCAATGCCTTGAGCGGGTGACCTTGCCATCGAGTCTTCAAAGCTTGAGTTTTGGCTATCGGTTCAACCAAAGCCTGGAGCGGGTGACCTTGCCATCGAGTCTTCAAAGCTTGAGTTTTGGCCATGACTTCAACCAAAGCCTGGAGCAGGTGACCTTGCCATCGAGTCTTCAAAGCTTGAGTTTTGGGGATCGATTCAACCAAAGCCTGGAGCTAGTTACCTTGCCATCGAGTCTGCAACGCTTGAGTTTTGGCTATGACTTCAACCAAAGCCTGGAGCGGGTGACCTTGCCATCGAGTCTTCAAAGCTTGAGTTTTGGCTATGACTTCAACCAAAGCCTGGAGCGGGTGACCTTGCCATCGAGCCTTCAAAGCTTGAGTTTTGGCTATCGGTTCAACCAAAGCCTGGAGCGGGTGACCTTGCCATCGAGTCTTCAAAGCTTGAGTTTTGGCTTTGACTTCAACCAAAGCCTGGAGCGGGTGACCTTGCCATCGAGTCTTCAAAGCTTGAGTTTTGGTGAGAATTTCAATCAAAGCCTGGAGCTAGTTACCTTGCCGTCGAGTCTGCAAAGCTTGAGTTTTGGCTATGACCTCAACCAAAGCCTGGAGCGGGTGACCTTGCCATCGAGTCTTCAAAGCTTGAGTTTTGGCCATGACTTCAACCAAAGCCTGGAGCGGGTGACCTTGCCATCGAGCCTTCAAAGCTTGAGTTTTGGCTATCGGTTCAACCAAAGCCTGGAGCGGGTGACCTTGCCATCGAGTCTTCAAAGCTTGAGTTTTGGCTTTGACTTCAACCAAAGCCTGGAGCGGGTGACCTTGCCATCGAGTCTTCAAAGCTTCAGTGCTTGCCATTCATCACGCAGGGTGTCTGTCCGTTCGGGAGGCTGTGCTTAATTAGTTTGTTTGACAAACATAGATTTTTGTATCACGAAAGAGGCTTGCGCTTTCAGGGATACTTGAGGACTCTGGGGTGCTAGTTATTTGTGATATGATATGACATCATATTGGAAGTATTTGTAAGTTATAAAACAAGGTCTTGTGAAGGAGAAAGGCGATGGAAATAGCAATGAGCTTGAGGGGAAGTGTAGATAGTAACCAAGTTGAAGTGCCTGAGCTTTGCTCAATTTTCAACGGACTAATCCAGGAATTGGGAACTCATCTTTGGATTCAGACGCCACTTGCGATCTGCCTTCAAGGCCGCCAGGAAGAATGGGATGGTCTCTCAGAGTTTCTTTCCTGCTTCCGAAACCATAAGGAAACTGATCGTTGACCCTGGCAGCGCACATCTCCTTGCTGGTTAACGCCCATGCCCATGTGTATATAATGCTTAATGTGATTCTCATGATATCCCGCCATCACTCCATGAGCTTGTTGATTTTGTACCAATCATATCCACACATAATATCAAGTTGGTTCCATATCCCCATGAACTATCCCCACAAATGGTTGCTGAACATTCCCCACGGCCCATCCACGAACCCATAGATTCCCACTTTATTATGTATCTTTAATTTATGTTAAATTCCAGTTTTTCATGGTTAGATCCACATTTTGGAGGCTTAAAACTTAAAACCATACTTTTCATGGGTAAATAATGTTAAAACAACATTTTTCATAGTTGAATCCACATTTTTCATGGTTAAATCCTCATTTTTGATGCCTAAATCCACATTTTTCATGGTTTCATGTTGATCTCTCATGAATTCCCCATGTTTTGAATGCATCGGTACAGGATGAGAACCAGCAGCAGCTGCTGGAACTGGAGCATCAGCTCGCAGAGGTCGTTTTTTATCTTTTTTTCAACCGTGGCTGGCTGGAAGATTCTCCTTACATGGAGGTTGCAATGGAATATTCAATGGAATATTCTACACATTCGGGATTCAAATGCGGGATTCAAATGGGGGATTTGGTGGTGATTTAATAGGATTTAGTGGGGTTTCATGGAAAAGATGCCAAACATTATATAATAGGGCTTTTGACCATTGAAAATCAGGATTTTCACCATTGAACATGTTGATTTAAGCATTGAACATAGGGCTTTAATGGTGATTTGATAGGATTTAAATGGCACATAATGGGATAATCATAGCGGGATAATTATAGTGGGATACACACATCCCCCTAATGTACTGTAAAATGGGGATATATTGGGATATGCGTCAATCCCCAACATCCACTACGGTTTCTGGGGTGGGGGGTGTTCAAGGGCATAGGGGGAGGGATTAGTTTGGGATTTTAATCAAGGAAACTGTGGATTTAGTGGGATATAATACTGGGTATAGAATGGGATAAAATCGGGGTATAATGGGGCGGCTATCAGGGGATACAGTGTGATTTTAGCACAAATATGATATGGCTTTGCCTCGAATAAGGGAAAACTCCCGGTTTATGGTTATGTTCATTTGAGGAAAATGATGATGAGTCCTTCTCATAGCATTTTTGGAGTATCCTCCATTTTAATGCAACTCCATTTATGGTTATGTTCTTGCTATTCTTCACAACAAGAAAAGGACATACAAATTGGGTATCAATTGGTGTATCCATTAAAAAAATGGGTGTATCCATCAATTAATACATACAGATTCATCAAAAAAGCGACCAACAATGGCTATCCATTGGTGTCTTGGATTTGTTGAGTTGGTGTTTGTGATGTTTGATTTCCCCCCATTGGTTGCTGTTGGGTTAATCCGCCATCATGGGGAACGAATGAAACTATGTTGCATCTGAAGATGGGCCCGCGCAAATCCAATGATAGTTCGAACTCGGAACGCTGCAGTTAAAATTAACCAGCTAGATATCAAACAACAAAGAATGAGCAGACAAACAGCAGGGATGGAAAGCAACCAAACAGGATTTACTTGCCTGCTCATCCGTCTAGTAACTCTTCGGCAACCCTGATGGCCGTAGTCCCCGATTCCTGCGATTGTATATAGCGTTTAGTGACTTGACTGGGATGCAAACCCAAGTACAGGGACACAACCGATGAACATGGTGAGAAATTCAAACTTGGGGATAAAATCCAAGAAACATATGGAAGGAACCAACATCAATGGAGAATCGAGTTGGAACCAATGCTTTCTGGGCAAAAAGATTATGTACTGGGTGTGCTGGCCGCATCCAAGAGGGATACCATAGTGGTCACTATCCCTGATTACCCATTGTTTTTGCAAGACGACATAATTGCATCAGTCAAAATGTCAACCTGCCAGTTGTACCAGTTGCTTGATGACTTGTAGCAAACACACCCATTGTTTGTGGGTCAACATCCCCATTTGTAATGATGGCCAATGATCTTGAGGAGACCTCCCAATGTGTGTCTGGAATTTCCACCATCATTTTGTCCCTGAATTCAGCCATATGCCATATCTATATAAATGTTTGCCAGTCAACTCCCCATGCTTGATGTTTGCATCTTCAATTTTGCAGCTTGAAGCCTACGTCCTCGTTTGTTGAATAGCAAATCTTGCCGATGAACTTCCTATTGTACCTGGATAATATCCTATAGTTGAATATTCTGCATGATCAAAACAAAAATACTGTAAGACCGAATTCAGATTCTTGCCGAACCCCCAACCCCTCATCCTTTTCAGCGCCAGGCCGCAACGAAGCTGGAAGATGTTGAGCAGTTGAAGGCCACTTTTTTTGATCTGCTACCGCCATCCCAAGAGGTATATAAAAACACCCAGAAAATTGGTGAAGCGCTTTTCTATTGATGTATTTTTGGGACCCGGATAAATGATTGCATAGATTGCATACATTGGTTGTCAACCTTTCGAAAACTTCATCGGTGTTACTACAGTTTTGACCCATTCCTGGAATTGGTTCAAGAAACTTGCAGAAACACTGGCAAAAACCATGGATATCTATGGATAGTTTTTTTTTTAGTTTTGTTTTTCTGTACACTTATTGGTTTGTAAAAACCAATGGCCTACTGTAAAAAACATCTGTAGTTGGACTGCGCTTCACCCAGTCCACTGATCCGTCTCTCTTTTCAGGAGCTGTACAAGCGACTGACATGGAAATGTGAATTTTAGGGGGGTTCAAGAGCAATCAATGGGGATTTGGTGCGATTTGGGATTCAATTGGGGATATAGGTGTATAATTATAGAACCAACTTGATATATCTTGATATGATATTTGGCTGCCCGAAACTGCGGTGTTTGCCCCCCCCCCCGAAACTTGCTTATTCATCGCATGGGGAAATGGGTGATCATCCATTGGAGTCAATTGGAAGCTCCAGGTCCATTTTGGTGATATGACCAACGCAAGTGTTCTCACCAACGAATTTTGGTGACCAAAAAACTCATCCTTTTTTTAAAAATGCTCTCGCATTTTTTTCATTTTTGCTAGCATACTTTTCTTGTTGGTCGAATTATGTCGAATTCACTTCCGTTTTTGTTGCTATGGTGTATTCTCCCCATTTTGGTGGTATCAGATCCCCCTTCCATGACCTGCTGGTGCAGGCACAGTTGAAGGAGGCCCGTTTCGGCCAGCAGGCAGAAACGGGAGGAAACTCATTCTGGACTGGTTGGATGAAACTTTTTCGCTTATAAAATCAGATGGAATTTTAGCATGGAAAGTTACCCAAGGCATCCCTATAGGTCATTATAGGTCATTCAACCAACCACATTTTTGGATTACGCTATGAGTTGGATGATCCCCATTGATGGTAAAATGGACGTCAAATTAGTGGACACCTCATTGTTAGCGGACAGAAAAAAACAATCACGCAATCTGACTCTGGTTCATGATTTTTCCACATTTTGGAAGCCACAAACATCACCAAACTTTGAAAAACACTTGGCAGGTTGATCGACATCTTTTGCTGCTTCAATCCCTATGTTTTGATGGTTGAATCAGTAGAAATCAGTATTTTTCATGGGTTAAATCCGCAATTTTTCATGATTATACCCTTGTTGGATCCAAAAAAACAAGGCCCCATGTCAGCGTTGCTCCAACCCATGCTGGGTAAATGATAGCCACAAGGGGGGCAATTTGGGATTTTACTTCTTCATTTGCCAACATTATCCCCTTGTATTTAGGGTGTTGGGGGCAGCGCTGTTTAACCATCAAAACGGTGTTTTTAAAACCCAGCATGGACATTCATGAGGGTTGAAGCGTTGCTATTGTAACCAAACTCATCAAAATAAGCATCAATAATCCGGTGTCAATTCACAATTTTGCATCTCACAGACAAATATAATCCAACTGTTGTCCCAATCAAATATCATCAAATGAAGTATCACATTTTCCAGTATCTCTAGTCTCCAATGAATCTCCCATTTTTCCAATGGGTATCCCATCACCATGGAAGGCCCATCAGCTGGACCTGTCCTGGAAGAGCCAAGCGGAGCAGCACCTGGCGTCGCTCTCCGCGGCGGAGCAGCGCTGCGAGGCGTCGCAGCAGAAGACCCTCCTGGCGCAGCGCCATGCGGCGGAGGTGGCGCCTGGGACGCACTGAGGCCATGGCAAGCTGGGAAATCATAGGAAAATCATGGGGAACACAACTATAAATGGAGGTTTTCATGGGAAAAATCATCTACACATGTTTTTTTTTTTGAGTTTCACTGGCGAAAGTCTGGGATGTAATTAATGAAAAACGGGTGTTTTCACCAGCAAACACTTGGGATGTAACAATGAAAAATGGCGGTTTCGGCAGCTCAGCAGGATATCTGCGAAGGGATGAGGGGAGATGGGGAGAGGTTTCCTGAAAAAATTAACGCCGGCTTGGATCCCTATCTTGGGGATGGAAAACAACACATATTCAAACATATAAAAATATATACATATATTTCCCATTATTTCCCCATAATGGTTGGTTATTATAAGTTAGATCCCCATGAAACCAGATGGCTGTGTCTGAAAATGGGATGCCCTCTATTCCACTAGACTATCGTATTGTTTTAATAACCCTTTTCAGTTAATAGAGAACATGTTTGGGGTATACAGTATACACCGTTTTTGGGGTGATAAGGGGAGTTCAGGGTTGACACAATTACTTTTTGGGAAACAATAAGGGTTGGTGCAAGAACAATGTAGACTATATGTATGTACATATATATATATATATATATATTGGATGAGCAGAAAGGAAGGATGATAAGCAGTTTGACGGGTAAACTTGGAGTTGGAGTAGTAAAACTCGGATTTCAACAGCAAACATCGGGAACTTGACCATGGAGCATAGAGCGGTCCTCTCCGAATTTGACTTTCAGGATCATTTGACTAAAGATAACGTTAAGAGTGCCAAAAAGAGAGAAGATAGTCAGCGAACTTTGACCCACCCCGTGGCAGATGGCACCTTTGAGAAGCCTGATGTTGCCATGGACAGGCTCCAACCTCAAAAGAAACCCTTCCTTTAGGCTCTGGGAAAAGGATGGACCACCATCCCCGCATCGATTTCAACCAACAAGAGCTGGGATTTCAGTCACCAAGAATCAGAGTATCCACTAATTTTCTGGGGAAACTTCGGTTACAGAGCATGGGACACCCCAAAATGGGGGATCTCCAAAACCATATATAGGTTTCAATACTAAGTCATGGTCTAATGACTTGGATGATTTGGTAGTAGCCCTTATTACTTAAGAACCCACTACATGTTTCATAAATGGTTAATCAACCATATCCCAATCCAATATTCCCATGACTTGACCATATCCCAAGTAAATGGACCATGATGGATGACGGTAACGTCTTGGACCTCCTGCAGATGCTAAGGAGCGGCAGAGGAAGGAGCTGGCGCGCAACGTGGGGGTGCAGGCCAGACAGCGACTCACCGAGGCGGGCCGCACTGATGAAAAACAGAGATCATTTTGTCATTTAGTTGTTGGACTGACTGACAGAGATTCTCTCTTTTTGGGATGTTGAAGCAATGTTCACTGTTTTGAAGTAAGACAACGTTTTTCGTACCGACTCATAGAGCTTTTAGGGATGTTTAATCCTCACTTTTTGTTCCTTCTTTTTTCATTTTGAAGTGGTGACGTCCTCAAGAGATGTATGGATACCCTTTGACTGTCCAATATGGCAAGTATCTATACATGAAGGGAGATAGACGGCGGATCATCTATTGCCATGTTTCTTTGCTAGAGGGTATCTTCAGTCGTCATGGGGTGGCCCACTTTCAGACCAAGTCATTATCATAGATCCAATACTCAACCAGGCTATACAGCTATAGTATCTTCTGGCAACCCCCAAAAAGATTGAAAAGGTGCACCTTGTCGCTATTTTAGGATTGGATTTGACCAAGTTCTACCTTTTTTTGGTGATTGCTAGACCCTGTTATCGCATCATTATCCCATGAAATATCTCCATGTCAATGTCAATTAAAGCCACCATATTGTTGTTTAAAGTCACCATGTTTTTTGTCGCAGAATTCATGCTTAATCCCCTGGATTCCCCCATGGTTCCACCATTCAGGAGCTGGAACAAGCCCTGTCCGAGAAGGCGGCGCTGGAGAAACGCTTGAAGAAGGCCTTTCGGTGGTTTTTGGCACCAAAATGAGTGGGGTATACTCCAAGAATGGGCATAGAATGGGTGGAAAGCATTGGAAAATGATATAGTACAATATATTCATATATATATATGATTATAGAATATGAATATATTGACTGATTATATACAATGGGTCAGTTGGTTTGATCGGATTCTTTTTTGGAGGTAGTTCTGTCAAGTTCTGTACTCGCGGATTTTGAGGAGATTATCATTTGTATGTATCCCATTGTATTCAGATTGACTGTTGGTTATCCCTTCCAACAAGCTCATTCCTAAATGCAACGACTGAAACCCCAAAATGGCCATGTCCAAGTGGAAAAAACTTCCACATTTTCTTGAGTACTTGAGTTCCAGCCTTTCAATTTCGGGTGAAATCTTTAGTTTCCATTGACCCCCTAGGCTGTCTTGGTCAAACTCCCTACAGTTTTTCTGTATCTCCATTTGTCACATCCAATGTTTTTCTGTCGGGGTAAATCCGGAAACTTCCAGCAGTGATGAAATCCTGATGTCTTTTTGCTTCGATCTTCTGGCTTTCCCGGCGAGAAAAACTGATCCCATCCGCAATTTTTTTTTTATCCAATTAATCCACATTCCAATCTCTATTTTTGGGATAAAAATCCAATGAATTCCTCATTAAATTCACATTCACTCCCCAAAATATGGACTAATTCTATCCCAATTTTCATCAGATGTGGATTTCTCATTATATCCCCACATTTTTTGGGATAGAACATTTGAGTTTTTCGCTGAGGCCCAGCGCAGCTTCGCAGAGGAGCAGCGCCTCCGCAGCAGCCTGATGCAGGTGGGATTTTACCATGGAAAAGTGGTGGATGAATCCTCCAAAAATGCTGGATTTGAAGCAAAGATTGGGATTTCACCATCAGTTGGGATTTACGAAGAGGTGGAATGTCAGCATGATAATTTGGCATTTCAACACAAACAATTCGGTCTTTTAAGCATCAAACATTGGGAGGTAACCATAAAAGATGAGATTTCAACCACACTTAACCAGTAAGGAAGGGCATTTACGTGAAACTTGGAACTTTCACACCTATCAAAATGGTGGTTTTCGCCAGAAAAAGGGAGGTTTGGCATGGTTTGACCAGCGCAAAATAGGAAGAACCATCTTCACAGTCGAACATGGAGGGATCTACCAGCAGCGATGGGGTTGTGGCCACATATGTATATATATACACACATATCTGGGTAAATTATAACGACCTCACTGCGACCTCACTGTAATCATAGTTAGTAAGGGGAATCATCCCCAAGATGGCCTTATTTCAGGTTATTGAATTATCATTTACTCATACATATATATAAATACACACATATATATATATATACACATGCATTAAATGTGTTGAATCAATCTACTCAATGAAACATGGTGGAGGCACGAAGTGGGGGATTTTCCCAATCAACAGTCTTGTTGAGTGGGGAATGGTGTCCATCCCTATCAATCGGTTGCTGATGGCCAATGACCAGCAAGCAGATATACTGCGTTGATGTATGTTTAATCAATGAATGGAGGTGACGAATAACACCCACAGAATGGGTGTGTTTGTACTCAACTAGACAATCAGGGGTATGTATGGACAACACTTCAAACATGGATGGACTCAACTTCCAAAGGACGCTTGGAGGGACGGGTCATGCAAAAAATATACTGTAACTGGATTATTCATTTATATTTGTATATATAGATATATACATGTATATGTATGTACACGGAATTACACATATGTATATACTATATATATATATATGTATATACACATAAGGTAGCCAACAGGCTTGTTAAATCTTATTAGCCGGTTAGTAACCATACATAGTTCACCCATTTAGATATCGGATAACTTACGAAGCGGGGACTTACCAACCGGGACGAATCTAGTTATTATATAACCTTGGAAGATTTTGGAAATCTTTAGCAAAACCTTACTTATCTAATATCATCGATATGAATGCGTATATATATATATATATTATATATATATATTATACATACATTATGGAATATGTGATCAACCATCTTTACAGGTTATCCCATATATTTTCCCGAGCTGGTGTTCTGTCTTTGTTTTATGTCTGGTCAAAAAAACCGACGAAAGCTGCGCAAGGTAGTGCCTAGTTAGGTGGCTAAGTTGGTATTCATGGTTCGATCCTTATTTTTGATGGTAAATTCCGAATTCTACATGATTGACTTCCCATGTTCAATGTTAAAATCACCATTTTTTATGGTCAAGTCACCATGTTTCATGGTTAAAACATCCTCGTTTTCAATGGTAAACATCTCCCATTTTTCATTGGCCATGGCCAATATTTTCCCTTATGGTTTCACCATGGTCTCACCAGTTTTCGATGGTCAAATGGCAGCATTTCCAGGAGATGGAGATCTCAGCCGCGGAGCTGAAGACCTTCAAAGACGAGGCCTCGGAGCTCTCCCGAAGCCGCGGAGCTCTCCTGCAGCTCGCTTTTGGATTCGAGGGGAGTTCACTATGAAAGAAGCTCTATAAATTGGTATGAATGAAGTTATTCAATAGCTATCTAAGTGTGTAACTTATGAAAAAAAAGGAAACATGTTTAGAAGATATAAATCCAACCTGTTGAAAGGGGAAGAGTCAGTAAAATGGGGATTTCATAGGTGATTCTCATGCGGAAAATTGGAGTGACACCATATCTTCATTCGTGAAATACCGATGAGATCCCGAATATTGGGGTTTTGAATGTGGTTGGAAGCACCAAGAAATGCCTGGAAACCATGGATTTATTCAGGTTGCAACCATGGGATGATGATCCCCAGTGAGGAGCTTCTGCGAGTGCATTTGGGGGGCTTTCCACTTTCGCCTCCAGCACCTCGACGTGCACGGCGCCCCCGGGCCTATGGAAACATAAGTGCGAAGCATTGTGAAGACCAAAATCAGTGCTTCGGCGCTGATGCAGCTTCTTGCTGCCATCTTATCCCAAAGTCAGTGCTTTGGCACTGATGCAGCTTCTTGCTGCCACCTTACTCAAAGCACCCTCGGGCGTTATGGGCGGCCAGTGCGCGCAACACTGCCGCTATAACTCTCTCCTGCGAGTGCATTTGTAGATTGGTTTGCTGATGGCCGATTCGAGATCGAAAAAGCAACTCTTTCGTTTTGAAGGACTTAACCACTACAGTATTAACCACTATTAACCACTATTAACCACTATTAACTACTATTAACCACTATTAACCACTGTTAACTACTATTAACCACTATTAACATTGATTTTGAAGGCTAATTTTGAGGTCACCAGTTTGGGATGGCCAGATCAAAGTTTGAGACCTAACGTGACGACCAGTTGTCTAAACATGTCTAGTTTCCATCCAAGGTTGATCGAGGGGGTACCGAGGTTGACCCAGACCCATTTGATTTCCTCATGAAACGTGTCGAAACCTGGACTCCTTTGCAACGGTTTGAAACCACGGCACCACTAGATATGGGTATGGATCAATACCTATTAATACCATTTTTAATGGGATGAACATCCATTTACCAGCTATTTTGATGTTCACCAGGGGTACAAGGTTTTGACACACTGCCATATGGGCAAACATGGCTGGCACAGTAGATATACCCCCTATGGCTGGAACATGGAACCCCCAAACCCCAAAAAATTGGGCGCAAGCTGCGAGGCATTGGGCCGCATGAGATGATCTCTTTACCCCGGGTAGCCGCAAATGTTGTGATGAGTTATCATGATGTAATATTTCCCATTAGAATATATCACTTGCTCCAATAGATTACCTCTGCCAATGTTTTGGTGATCCCCTAGTTTTGACCAGCCCGTTTTCTAGACTCCCGTGAGTGTGGACTTAGTCTCCGCAGCTCAATGCAAAGTCAGCCAAACTTCCATAGGATCACATTTGGAATTCGAACAATGCCACAGAAACTGTTCATTTGACGAGTTCCCATGTGCATACTGCAATTTATGCATGTGTAGTGTATATGTACACCTGTACATGTGTAGTATATCTGTATATACACATAGGTATACGTGTAAATGTATATATATATGATACACGCATGCATATCTACATTTGTATAATCATGACACCATGGCTAGTTAGTTCTCATCTTGAAACTCCAGATTTTGATTGCTGAGGCAAAAGCAGCGACGCTTGGCAAAGAGCCACTAGGCCCAGATGAAATGAGAGGGACTGGCAATGTGTTGGTAATCAGTGGGTGTAACACATACAGATATACGTATATGTACATATGCATCTATCTATCTATCTATCTATCTATCTTATCTTATCTTTATTTTTATCTTATCTTTATCTTATCTTATCTTATCTTACTATCTTACTATCTTACTATCTATATGTCTATCTATCTAATCTAATCTAATCTATTCTATTCTAATCTAATCTAATCTAATCTAATCTATCTATCTAACTATCTATCTAACTATCTATCTATATATATATATCTATCTAACTATCTATCTTCTATCTATCTATCTATCTAACTATCTATCCATCTATCTAACTATCTTTCTATCTATCTATCCAACTATCTAACTATCTATCTAACTATCTAACTATCTATCTATCTATCTAACTATCTAACTATCTAACTATCTATCTATCTAACTATCTATCTATCTATCGAACTATCTATCTATCTATCTATCTAACTATCTATCTAACTATCTATCTATCTATCTAACTATCTATCTATCTATCTATCTATCTATCTATCTATCTATCTATCTATCTAATCTAATCTATCTATCCATCTATCTATCTATCTATCTATCTATCTATCTATCTAATTATCTATCTATCTAACTATCTATCTATCTATCTAATATAATCTTATCTTATCTTATCTGATCTAATCTAATCTAATCTTATCTTATCTTTCTATCTATCTATCTATCTAACTATCTATCTATCTATCTATCTAATATAATCTTATCTTATCTTATCTAATCTAATCTTATCTTTCTATCTATCTATCTAACTATCTATCTATCTATCTATCTAATATAATCTTATCTTATCTTATCTAATCTAATCTTATCTTATCTTATCCTATCTATCTATCTAACTATCTATCTATCTAACTATCTATCTATCTATCTAACTATCTATCTATCTATCTATCTATCTATCTATCTATCTATCTATCTATCTATCTATCTATCTATCTATCTATCTATCTATCTATCTATCTATCTATCTATCTATCTACTATCTATCTATCTGGGGAGTAAACAGACTGACTGAAGGGTAGGCCACTTGGCGATTTTTGCTCGTTTAGCTTTGGGATTTCCTAGCCAACCACATCTATCTATCTATCTATCTATCTATCTATCTATCTATCTATCTATCTATCTATCTATCTATCTATCTATCTATCTATCTATCTATCTATCTATCTTATCTATCTATCTAACATACATATATATATATACATATATATATATAGAGTCATTCTTCCGTACAAGAGCTGCGAGAGTCATGGTATCTACTGCGAGAGTCGGCTGATCTCCCGAGGCGAAGCTGGACAATTTGAATCCTTTCAAGCACAGTTGAACCAGGTGCTCGGAGGACCAGATGGAGCTTTCCATAGCCATGCTGGATACCTCCAAGCCATGCATCAGCAAAATGCCAAAATGATCCAAAATGGCTGGTGAATTTCATGGGATATCCACCTTTCAGAATTGATGAGAACTCTTTGGGTAGCCCCAAAATAAACAGGATGAGAAATTGATTGGATGAATTGCATCCCATTGGTTGATCATCAATGGGAAATCCCCATGATTTGCCCATGATACCCAGCGTTTTTGTTGATTTAATCCCAAACTTTTATGGATCAAGTCTCCCATGGATTGATGGTTTAATCCCCATTTTTGTGGGTTAAATCCACATTTTGGGCTGTTCTATCCCAATTTGATCTTGACCAATTTCTGGTGTGCCAGGCTGAGCAAGAACGACGTGTCCTGCAAGTGGAGCTGGCAAAGTTCCAGGGCACGGATGGGTGCTACGAGAAAAATGGGGATTGCAACCATAACCAAACAGTATGGGTGAATGCATGCTTATCTGTCTACCGATTGATCTATTTATCTACCTATCTACCTATCTACCTATCTATCAAACTACCAGACTACCTAACTACCTATCTATTTATCTGTTTGTCTGCATGTCTAATCTATCTACCTTCCTATCTATATCTTTACTGTGCTGATAGACGTATGCATATACAGTATATATAATTATATATATATACACACATACACAGAACACGTATAGAGTCTATTCTCCGGCATTTTCAGTGACGCCATTCTCACGTGGGATCAGGAAGCGGTGCTGGATATAGGGGTCCAATCATTGGTGGTCCAAAATTCCGTGGATTTGAGGTGATGGTTGCTTTGACCAACGACTTGTTGGTAGATAGCACCAACAGCAATTGCAAAGGTATTGAACTATTTCAAGAATCAAAGGATTTTCGCCAACCAGATGAGGGCACCAACAATATCCAACGGGGATGTTCCATTCGCATACATGTCACCAACAAAACCCGGGTAGACCATGACAATGAGGTCCCCCAAGAATGGGATGAATGGGGCCCCTGAAACATGATTTTGCATGTGGACATGCAGATCAGATATGGAATCCATGCGTCATGCGTCAGGGATGTATGGGATTCGTCGGTCATTTTCTGCCCATGACTTCTCTGGAGTGCTCACTGTATACCCACAGCATGCGGACTCACCTCACTGGGTTGGATGAGTCTGGATGAATTATCACAACCTCACGTCGCAACGTCAATGGAAGGATGGGAATTGAATGGCCGAACGTTTTAGGTCGGCGAAATATAAAACATACATCCAGATCATTGGATCCTCACTGAGGTTAGTTTATCCTTTTTCATTGAGTAATATACTTTTAAGGCTGGTTTTGTGTGCTTTGCATTTTTTTGATACTTTTCTGGATCATTTCAAGCTGCATGCAGATACTGACCTAAGCCCCAGCTTCGAACGGTCAACGGCGGAACCAAACCAAGAAAACCTAATATATGGTATATATGTATAATGTTGGTGGATTAGGTCGCACAACATTATAAATTCCACTAACGTCGCCAACGTTGGTTTTATGTGCATAATACCAACTATTGCATATATATATATATTTGTATAATATATATATATATGTATAATATAATATATATATTTGTATAATACATATATATATATACATACACTATCACTATGTAAGGGTATAAATATAGTTATACTGTACATGATGATGGTGGATTATGTTCTAATCCGCTTGGGTTTTGGTGTCCGAGGTCCCAGCGCCTGCGTTCGGAAGAGCAAAAGCGACGTCACTTTTTGGCCTCGGATTCACCGGATTCACCCAGCGGGTTCTTAAGCAGTTTTTCACCAATTCAATGGTGGTTAAAAACTCATGAAATGAGGACGTTTTGTTTGGATGAAATTGGGATTTCCCAGTGAAAATTGGGATTTCCCAGTGAACATTGGGATGTCATGAGGAAAATGCTGGTTTTGAAGCAATGATTGGGATATTCCACCGGAAAAAGTGATTCTTTCAGCATGAAAAATGGTGATTGATCCAGAAATAGGGGGCTCATTTCAAAACGCGATGGATTGATCGCTAAAATGGTGGACAACAAAACCATGGTCACAGTGGATAGCCATTAGCCATTTACCAAGGTGCCGGCAGCAAAAGTTGTTTTTAATAACCTACAAAGGATCCCAAAGGGGGAATTGTTGGCATCCATGATTATGGTTAATATCCAGGGATGGTGAACCATTGAACCATGATAACCATGATCAGCATTTTGGATTGATAATCTGCCACGGGTGTGACTGATTTTAACCATCCACATTTTGGATTTACCTATGAACATTACATTCAATGAGGATGAGTATGAACCCAAGTTGAACCAACCTCAAGGGTCATATACGAATGCGGGGTTGACATTGGGCCTGCATTTTTGCCCACTCTCTCTCTCTCTCTTTTGTCAATTGATATGCACCAAGCAATATCCGGAAATAAAAAGTGATGTTTGTTTTGCTGGCTGACCCAAAAGCATATGCATACTCTACAATTATATTTATACATACATATTTTGGGTATGTCATAGGAGGGGCATGTAACATTGATTATGTTATAATTTCGTAATTTCGTAATATCATGTTTAGCACAAAGTAGTTTGGCAGACAACAGATATAATTTTCATAGAATTCGTACACATACAAAATCATTGAAAACAGGGATTCGATTCAACCATCAACGATGGATATTTTCCCACAGCAGAGCACCGTCAGGTCAAGCAGCCCTGGCAGAGAGAGATCGAACGCAACACGAGCTGCAGCAGTGGGGATCCCCAACATTGGGATATCACACGATTCATTGAATGGCCATGATTTGACAAACAAAATCATCTTTATTGGGGTTATAAATCAGATGAACCATGAAATTTTGGTTGTTCATCTGTCATGATTTGAACCATGATTTTAACCATGAGCCATGATGAATTTCAGAATTTCTGGTTGTAATTGGGGGTATCTTCGATGACATCGGCCGGTTCTGAGTTCCCGCAGAGCTCAGCCTGACCCTTTCGCAATCAGCTATACTTTGCATCAGCATGTCTGAAAATGGGGGTATAGCAGTATTTTAAGGCCATGCAGAACTAGGGGACATGATCATGAACTACACTTCGAATTAATATGAATTAACATGAATTAACCACATCTAACATCATTTCATCCGTGGAATTTGCGGTAGCATTTCACCACGCGGCAGGTTGGTGCAAAGTTTACGGCAGGCGCAGCTGGGCGAGGTCGTGGGCCAGATACGAGGACCAAAAATGCCTTGGATGGTATTGAATGTAATGTAATGAATGTTATGGGGATATGATAGGAATATTATTGGAAAATAATGGGAATATCATGGTGATTTCAATTTTCCATCCTGGCTGATCCAGATCAACTTTCATTTTCTTCAGGGGGGTTCAAGCCACATGAGTTCCTCTGGAAGGAGGGCCCAACGATGTCGACGGACTGTGAATTGGTATAGCAGGTATCCATTTAGCTGGTGGTGAAAGGGGGTGAATCCCTCTGTTAATCAAGCAACCTGTAGGAAAAGGACATTTATGGCTGGTTTCATGATGTTTCATGCCCAGTTTTTGTTCATTGGATCCACATTTGGTTCAATAAATTACAAGTTGTGGTGCGTGAACCCACCCACTTTGTCGCAAAATACCCCTTGATTGGATCGTTGCGGAGCTGGACCGGATCTGACCGGCTAGGTCTGTGGCTTTGTTCATTCCTTTTGGTCTTGCCATGCCCTTCACAGGGGCGTCCCCACGGATGATCACTGATGGTTATGACACTATCTAGGACAACCATCCAACTGAGAAATTTCCATACCTCGTTTGACTCCTGAGAAGTACACCCCACGGTGATTTTTGACAACTCCCTTTTCCATAATTCAGGATAATTATCTTCGTTTCCCAGAATTGGATGAAGGGCACATCGAATACCATCGAATTTGTAAAAACCCTTGGAATTGCGAAAAGCCATGGTTTCCTGCTATATATTTATGGTATATCAATGGTGATATATTACCACCATATTAATGGGAATATCATATTAATGGTTTCCTGTAACATTTCACAGCAAACCCAATCCAATGTTGCGACCCGTTCTAAAGCGGCTCACGTTCTTCGCGCCACTAGGGCCAGATCCATCCGGCGAAACGACGTGCGGTTGAAGCCCAAGATTCGGCGCGCGATGGCTGGAAATGGCAACTGGCCAAAGTACCACATGCCTGATATCAATATCAATAATGTATGCAGCATATATTATGTATATAAATGATTATAAGTGTATGTATGTATGTATTGTATTTTATTGTATGGTATTGTATTGTATTGGATTGGATTGGATTGATGGATGGATGGATGGATGGATGGATGTATGTATGTATGTATGTGTGTATGTGTGTATGTGTGTATACATATACATATACATATACATATACATATACAACATACATATATATATATATGTATAACATGATTGTATCTCATATACGCATAGAGTACATACAATTCGTGCATGTATGGGCGCGCGCACACTACGTCAATTGGTTGTTGGACCTTCAACCTCCAGCCCAAGGCTTGACAGCATATCATCCATGTGAAGTGGCCTTGCTTTAATATGGGGATAAACTCTCGCTATGTATGTATATATATATACACATTTGACAGTATATGTACATGCACACATACATGCGTATATATGTATGTATGTATGTAATGTAATGTAATGTCATGTAATGTAAATGTAAATGTAGATGTAGATGTAGATGTAAATGTATTGTAATGTAATGTAACGTAACGTAACGTTATGTTATGTTGTGCAATGTAATGTAATGTATGTAAGTATGTAATGTATGTAATGTATGTAATGTATGTAATGTATGTAATGTATGTAATGTATGTAATGTATGTAATGTATGTAATGTATGTAATGTATGTAATGTATGTAATGTATGTAATGTATGTAATGTACGTAATGTATGTAATGTACGTAATGTACGTAATGTACGTAATGTACGTAATGTACGTAATGTACGTAATGTACGTAATGTATGTAATGTATGTAATGTACGTAATGTACGTAATGTATGTAATGTATGTAATGTATGTAATGTATGTAATGTATGTAATGTATGTAATGTATGTAATGTATGTAATGTATGTATTGTATGTATTGTATGTAATGTATGTAATGTATGTAATGTATGTAATGTATGTAATGTATGTAATGTATGTAATGTATGTAATGTATGGAATGTATGGTATGTATGGTATGTATGGTATGTATGGTATGTATGGTATGTATGGTATGTATGGTATGTATGGTATGCATGGTATGCATGGTATGCATGGTATGCATGGTATGCATGGTATGCATGGTATGCATGGTATGCATGGTATGCATGGTATGCATGTAATGCATGTAATGCATGTAATGCATGTAATGCATGTAATGCATGTAATGCATGTAATGCATGTAATGCATGTAATGCATGTAATGCATGTAATGCATGTAATGCATGTAATGCATGTAATGGCATGTAATGGCATGTAATGGCATGTAATGGCATGTAATGGCATGTAATGCATGTAATGCATGTAATGCATGTAATGCATGTAATGCATGTAATGCATGTAATGCATGTAATGCATGTAATGGCATGTAATGGCATGTAATGGCATGTAATGGCATGTAATGGCATGTAATGGCATGTAATGGCATGTAATGGCATGTAATGGCATGTAATGGCATGTAATGGCATGTAATGGCATGTAATGGCATGTAATGGCATGTAATGGCATGTAATGGCATGTAATGGAATGTAATGGAATGTAATGGAATGTAATGGAATGTAATGGAATGGAATGGAATGCAATGGAATGGAATGGAATGTAATGGAATGTAATGGAATGTAATGGAATGTACTGGAATGTACTGGAATGGAATGTAATGGAATGTAATGGTATGTTATGGCATGTAGTGGAATGTAGTGGAATGTAATGGAATGTAATGGAATGTAATGGAATGTAATGGAATGTAATGGAATGTAATGGAATGTAATGGAATGTAATGGAATGTAATGGAATGTAATGGAATGTAATGGAATGTAATGGAATGTAATGGAATGTAATGGAATGTAATGGAATGTAATGGTATGTAATGGTATGTAATGGAGTGTAATGGAGTGTAATGTAATGTAATGTAATGTAATGTATGTATGTATGTATGTATGGTATGTAATGTATGTAATGTATGTAATGTATGTAATGTATGTACTGTATGTAATGTATGTAATGTATGTAATGTATGTAATGTATGTAATGTATGTAATGTATGTAATGTATGTAATGTATGTAATGTATGTAATGTATGTAATGTATGTGATGTATGTGATGTATGTGATGAATGTAATGAATGTATATAATGTATGTAATGTATGTAATGTATGTAATGTATGTAATGTATGTAATGTATGTAATGTATGTAATGTATGTAATGTATGTAATGTATGTAATGTATGTAATGTATGTGATGTATGTGATGTATGTAAGGTATGTAAGGTATGTAAGGTATGTAAGGTATGTAAGGTATGTAATGTATGTAATGTATGTAATGTATGTAATGTATGTAATGTATGTACTGTATGTAATGTATGTAATGTATGTGATGTATGTACTGTATGTAATGTATGTAATGTATGTAATGTATGTAATGTATGTAATGCATGTAATGTATGTAATTTATGTAATGTATGTAATGTATGTAATGTATGTAATGTATGTAATGTATGTAATGTATGTAATGTATGCAATGTATGCAATGTATGCAATGTATGTAATGTATGCAATGTATGTAATGTATGTAATGTATGTAATGTATGTAATGTATGTAATGTATGTAATGTATGTAATGTATGTAATGTGTGTAATGTATGTATGGTATGTATGGTATGTATGGTATGTAATGTATGTATGGTATGTAATGTATGTATGGTATGGTATGTATGGTATGTATGGTATGGTATGTATGGTATGTATGGTATGGTATGTATGGTATGTATGGTATGGTATGTATGGTATGTATGGTATGGTATGTATGGTATGTATGGTATGGTATGTATGGTATGGTATGTATGGATTGGTATGTATGGTATGTATGGTACAGTATGTATGGTACAGTATGTATGGTATTTATGGTACAGTATGTATGGTACAGTATGTATGGTATGTATGGTACAGTATGTAGTGTCTCATTTGCACTTATTCGGCTGAGTTTTCGCTTTCTACACATTCCAGGGCTACCTATCCTTATTTTATTTTACATCCTGATTGAACACGTGTGCATAGGTGCATTGCCTTGTTTACTGCTGTCGGTTTAGCCAACTCTTCCGTCCAACATGAACCATCACTTAGGATGTCACTTCAGCTGTCATCTGTTGGCTGCGGGATAGCAATGCCATCTGGGATGATGCCGCAAGCGGCATGCAGGCTCAAGCTGAAACAATTCGTCTTCTTGGATGCTTCAGTTTCATCACAAACATCAGTCTCATACCGCATGTGCCCTTTGAGACCATCTTTTCCTTTGCCAGGGCACTCATGTGGAAGCGCTTGTGCGCAAGAGCGTTTTCCAGAAGGGATTCGGGTCATCTTGCCGCATGTTTACGCATCCTTTCTTGCCTGAACCTCCTGCCCGCAGACATGATCTGGCTTCTCGATGTGGCTAGTCTGCACTGCCTCCAGGCTTTTGAGTTGCAACTTACTGCCTTTTTCTGTCATTAAGGTCACTCCAGGCCCAGGAACGCAGAGAGCATGGCAGACTTTGCTCCGTTTCGGAGCCAAGACAGGTGAGAAGGTCACAGAAACGATGTTTCTGGGCTCGTTCCTTCTTTGAGAGCTTCATATCCACGCAATTGCAAGCAACATCCTCTTGGCTACCATATATTGGCTTGGCCCAGATGCAAAGCCCTATTTCCCAATTTCTCTACCCAACAATATCGAAGATGTTTCTAAGGTTAGTCCCATGCAAAGGTGTCAGCAAAGCTTTTCAACGTTTATTACTGCCAAACCCCAGCGCACAAGACGTACCGCAGATAATCAAGCATCCCACAGATTCCTACCACCAAGGTTTTTACAGCGGGTCATCTTGGAGTTAAAAGATCTGCAGCAGCATGATGCCGCGGCTGGAGAACTGATTCAGCATCTGAACCTTGGCACTTTGCGAGGATGGCTATGTAAATGCTGGCAAGTCCTCCGCGCCATTGCAGTGCCCGAGGCATTGTCCAATTGGCGCTCTAAACGTAAGCGGAGTCTCGACAGAGGCTTTCAACGTTTCACCAAAAAGCGCAGCTGGAGTTCATGAGGGCATGGCACTTAAGCAAACTATCCTAGGCCTTAGCTCTAATGACATCGTAGTTTTAGCTCACGAAACGTCCTGACATCAGTTCATAATACAGCGATCGTTTCTCATGACATCCAGCTACCTCCTCGCTTTGGCTGCCACGGGTCCTTGTGGCGCGACCTCTTTTGGCAACACAGCCATCGCTGAATTTGCAGGCCTGTTTGACACAGCTCTTTTTTCTTGCCTCGACTTGTTCTGTTTTTTTCCTTTACTAAATGATATAGTTACATACCCTCAAGATCGGAGTATCTCGAATTCCCCTCCTTAGGTTTCCCGTTGAAGGTTTTAAGATCATCACCATTATGCTCTGCGAACCCTGAAAGGCTAGCAAATTAGAACCGGAGTGGATATTCCCCTCCTTAGGTTTCCCGTTGAAGGTTTTAAGATCATCACCATTATGCTCTGCGAACCCTGAAAGGCTAGCAAATTAGAACCTTGAAAGTTTGGATATACAGGCCTTTGTTGTGGAGAAAAGGTCATAGTTTTGGAGCGCAGAAAAAGGACCCGAGTCGTGATGAGATCTCTGCACAAAGGTGCAAAACATATTTGGAATTAGCCTCCGTGGTTTTGGCCGATCAAAGTTTTCATTTTCAACACCAGGTGATTACTACGTCGCTTGGGTTCAACTTTCTGACACAAGGAGGTTACACCTCGAAGGCAACCATGTTGAACCCCCAGTTGTGGACTAATGGCCACCTATAAGCCAACTTATTCGGTTGGCACCCTTTGGCGCCACTTCTACATTCCAACCGAACCATTTGGACAG